TGTGTGTGTGTGTGTGTGTGTGTGCATGCGTGTGTGTGTGCGTGCGTGGAAACATATTAAACCATTATCGATGTGCCTTGATCTGGGCATTAAACATTTTTCATCTCATCTCATCTTACAAGGTAATGGGGTTCATTGTGCACACAGACAGAGATTGTGAAAGCCCGTCCACCGTATTATTTTCTTAATCCCTTCTAAGCTTAGGCTCACTGGCTGGACGAAAAGTAGAAGCAAACTCCTGTGTTACATATTTTTTATAAATTAACAAGCAGATGATTCGATGTGGCTTGGTGTCCTTTTTGTCTGTGGAAGGGCGGGGGAAATCGGGGGGCGTGGTGATATACCCCTTACCCCGAACAAATAAACTCTTCTCATCCTGCTCCAAACCTCCATACTCTATCCAACCTCTAACCCCCCCCCCCCCCAAACCCCCAACATCCGCTTGTTGATTTATATAAGACAATCTGCACAATAATATGAAAGCATCTGGTCTTTAATTGGTCTTATTTCTGCATATCTAGATGTTGTTGGTTTTTTTAATCTCTAAAGGTAGGTAATTAGTTTTTCTTCATCCAATCCAACAAGTTCGAGCGGCTGAGAAAGAAAACAAGATTTGTTGAAAGGGAGGACAGTGTTTTGTAAACACACAGGTCGTCTCCGAGGGATCAGCTCACTGTGGACTGCATTGTCGGGTTGATCAATACTGTTGACGGTTGGGAGGGGACAACGGCCTGACCAAACCACTTACTTCAAACTAAAAAGTAGCCGTCCAAGAATTCTATGTCTTAAAAAACTGCGCAGGAATGCGCGTTTACTCCAAGATCTGTTCCATGACCCAATTATCGGGCCTGGCAGTGAAGTGGTTAAAACACGCTCGTATTGTGAAAGCTAGTTTGCCCCAGATAATCTCAGATTTCTTGGTAGATAGTAAAAAACAAATCCCGCCCTAGTATAATAAAGTCTTATCTGCTCAGTAGGCCTAGTTTTGAACAATTTGGCGTTAAGAATGTTTAGTTTCACAACATATCAAGCTTTATCGAATGCAATTCTTTGAATATCTTAATAAGGACTCTGAGTAATCTCACGATTTCGACAGAGCAGAGAGAACATTACTGTACTCAAAACGGCGAAACATGTCAGATAGAACTTTGTAATTCTAAGGTAGCGAAATAAGTCTGTGATATAAGATGGAGCGTTGTTTCTTGGAGCTTTGAAATACATTAATACAGTACTAGTTTACAGTCTACCCAGGATGGGTAGGTGGGTGAATACACGGACTGATTGGTGGGTGATGCTTTGTAGATTGGACAACAAATTCAAGGGAGGTAAGGTGAATATAAAAATATACTAATATCCGGGGCGAAGTGTCTACATAATCAATTAATAATTACTGTTTCCTTTCCTTAATGCCGGTTTCTTGGAATTCATTATTTTGACAAGCGCCTGTTTTCACCACAATGCCTCATACTTTGTGTTGAATGCGATGCCGACCTAAAGACTCAGTACATCCTGATAGAGTGTCCAGATTTTGAAGAGACCCGAAGGAAATATTTTATGAGTAAATGCACGAATATGATTTAAAGAATAATTTGTCCTCCATCGTTGATCCCAAAAAAATTATCGAACTTATAAAGACCATAATAGATCTCTACTGAAAGATGTACAACAAGTACTGTTAACACCCCCCCCCCTCCCCAACCCCGTAAACTATTGTTTTTGAGCTAAATATTTAACTGTCAATTTGTAAGTTCTTCAACCATTACAGTTTTATAAAGTAAAACCAAGCCGTGCTGTGAACTTACGTGAAAACAACCAACTTATCCCCGCACGTTTATAACTATTATACTGACCTTATGCAGTTGCTGGCGCCGTAAAACTATTACGAAACTAACTATGTGTACAGCGACATTCCAGAGTCGCTTCACCCCCCCCCCCCCCCCCGCGCAATTTAGAGAAAAACAAAAAGAAAACACTAAAATCTGAGCCATTTCTTGGGCACTGGCTATTTTTCAGTCAAAAACTGGGAAGGAAATAATGAAACTTAAGGAAATATATATTGGATTCTATTATTATTATTAGATATCCCTTAATTTCTTTATTTGCTTTTGAAAAACGTTTTCAGGAACCCCCTAGAAACTGGCATCTGTGGTCTAGCTGTTAAGCAATTCGCTGTCGAATGCAGGAGACCCTATTTTGATTACTCAGTTGGGGAGAAATTTTTATCGAGTACATGTATCTCGGTCTTTCTGCTTGGGTGTTGTAGAGCTCTCTCTTTCAGCCCGGGGTGGCCCTGGTAGCGGGTCGGACGCCCCTTCAAAGAATGATCGAATTTGTTTCCACGACAGCGTAAAACACATGCATCCAAAAGAAATAAACACACAAACATATATCATTACATATATTCATTTGCCTACCTGCACAGATAACGTAGGCATATCCTCTGTCTATAGGAACACCGCTTGTATCATCCTCCGTGATCTCATCTTTAACGTCCTCCTCCTCTTTTCCTTTTTCTCTCTCTCCAACATTCTCAGTCCTCGCCAACTCGTTCGCCCTGTCACCACCCATCTCTTCATCGTTGTGAACGTGACTGTTGAGCCCCCCTTTATTTCCGAGTGTCGGAGCAAAGGGCAAAGGGGATTCGTTTATCTTATCATCGCGTCCGCCGACACGGTTTTTGAATTCCGTATCCTCATTGTCCATTGTCTTTCCGTCATCGTCAACATTATCGTTGCCGACAGCCATCTCGATCCAGATTCTTGATCTCTCTTAACAATCGTTCCAGTTAGATAAACACACCGGGGGACTTTGTAATGGAGAAGAGAAGTTGTATTTCGACATTCCTTTTGCTCAGACGAACTTAAACTCTTAGTATATCGCTACCCTAGAACTACACAGTTCTATCTGTTCAGTACCTAGTTTTGAGAAATTTGACGTAATGAAAAATGTTAACTTGTCAAACTTTTTTGAATGCAATTCTTTGAAGACCTTGATAACAACTCCGATTTATCTCATAATTTTGATAGAGCAGATAGAACATTTGGTTTCTGGCCTCATGGTCTAAGTAACTCAAAACGGCAGAAAAAGGCAGAAAGAACTTTGTACGGAATACATTTAAATGTTTTGAGGAGCAACTTTAGTTCAACAATGTTTTTCAGCATCACAAACTCTGCTCCTATTTAACCTATTTGCACAAAATAAACACCAGACGGAGTAGATGAGAATGCTCTTTGTAATAAATATTCAGTTTGATTCCATACAGGATGAACTTGCTGAGGTTTGGAAGACGTTTGTGACGACTGTAAACAACCCAAGGAGGCAGTGAGCCAGCTGAACTGACGTGCCGTGCACCAAAAAGGATAAAGAATGACGGGTTGACGTCTCTCATGAACACAAAGCTCTAATTTTTCTCGTCATATTTCTCGTCACTTTGCTTGCAATTTTACTCGTCATTAATTTTTATTGTCATCTTGCTTCAACTGACATAGTAATCAGAAGTGTTGTCTGGACTTTGAAATGAGGAGTCTGCACCTTGTGTTGGGTGTGGGGTCGTTACGTAGGTGTCTGTGGAGAGGACAGGAGATCTTATAATGATGATAATGATAGCAACAAGAACAACAATCATGATGATAATGATGCTGCTGCTGCTGATGATGATGATGATGATGATGATGATACGATAAAAGAAAAAGAAGAAGAAGAAGAAGAAGAAGAAGAAGAAGAAGAAGAAGAAGAAGAAGAAAAAGAAGAAGAAGAAGAAGAAGGAGAAGAAGAAGAAGAAAACTACCCTACCACCACCACCACCATCATCATCATCATCATCATCATCATCATCATCATCATCATCATCATCAACAACAACAACAACAACAACGACAACAACGACAACAAGAACACAAAGAAGTAGTGGTTAATCTTTATATGTGAATTGTGAAACGTTTTACGCACTCTTAGGTACTTTTTAGAACAGTAAATTTATCAGGTAGGCTGCTTAGCCCATGCCTGTAGGGCAACCATAGAGCCCGGCACACAGACACAGATGCGTCACAACAGTTAGCATTGCTTTCACCCCCCCCCCCTTTCCACTCCATTTTCAGAAGGTAGAACATTTTGAACTTTACCCGGGTGGCGGCTGAAGCCTACTCTTATCGATTTTGGACCACCAATGGATCTTTAACTTGTGCAACTTGCACACGGGACCTCCGATATGTTTCGCCCTTATCCAAGAAGGCTAAATATATCTTACTTAACATAAGATCAGCGATATGGCTGAAAGACAAAGGTAAGAAGGATTCAAGGAGTAGAAGTAGAAAGGCTGCAGAAAGAGGGAGTAGGAGCCCAGAGGAGGGGACAAAGAGGGTGAGTGGGTGCAGGCAGAAAGTGGATACGAAAGCAGACGACAAAACATTGTTAGAGTGTATGAAAGGATGTGAAAGGAGAAAATTTTAGAAAAGAAAAATTTCCGTTGCTATCTGGATTCGAACCCACGACCTATTGAATGAGAAGCGAACACCTAAACCTCAAGACCACGCAAGCCCCCAACAGCATTTGTTACTATAATAACACTAATAGATCTAATGCACTTATTATTAACACCAACAGACGTTTGGTCCAAAGGCTTTTATCAAGCTCTGATCTGTTTCACAAGAGTTTGATTATTGTTTTCCTGAGTGGGTTTGACAATCCCTCGATCATTAAATCCTTGATGATACCCAGACGACGCACTACACGCCCATTCAAGCACAAAGACGTGCTACTAGTTATTCCTATACCCTAGAAATACAAAGTTCTACCTGCTCAATATATGTACCTAGTTTTTTAAATAAAAAAATTATGAGTTTCACAACATGTCAAACTTTTGTGAATACATTTCTTCGAATATTTTGACAATACTACAAATAATCTTACGATTTTGATTGAGCAGACTGACCATATGGTTTCTGACCTCACCATCTTTTAGTAACTTCAAACGGCCAAAAATATCAGATAGAAATGTGTAATTCTAAGATACTGAGTTGCTAACGTTTGAAAACATGTTATTTTGGGACCCTTTAAATAAGTTTAAAATTAAAAGAAGAACAAGTTCCTTTTATTCATGCATGCAGGTTTTTCATTTCTTATATCTGCTGAAATTTAAATATGCAGCATTCAACATGCGGGTTATATATATGTATGGACATTCCTGTTGCCGATTGATATGGTAGTTCGAAGCACACCTCAACGTTACGGTTATTGATCTGCTATAGATCAGACATAGTGAGTTAGCAAGATCTATAATGTCGCTGTCGAAAGCAATCCAAAATTTAAGAATTGTCGATTTTTACACCCTCCCAAAGTTCTATCAAAACTGCACCTTTTAACATCACCAAAACGCAGTTTAATGCTCTAGTCAAGGCTTTCAATTTTCTCGCTTTACATGATTCTTGATTGGAACAACGCAACAACAACTAGTTTTTTTTTTCTTTGGTGTAAAAAGTACCCAAACGGACTTAAGTGGATTGCTTGCGACACCGATGATAAAGGGTCTTTCACCAGCACAGTGAGTCGTCACAATCACTGATCATGGAAGCAACAGCCGGTGAGTTTACTGTTTGACAATACATTGTGTTTCTGTAATGCTGTACAGTTTGAGCTTTAGTAAAAGTATCACGGCACTTGCCACACAATATGGTCATATAAGTGCCGAAGATTAGTGGTGTTACAAGAGAGTAACATATACAAATAAGGAGGTTGGATCAGGACGTAAGATGTCTGATAGGAAAGAAGGAGCAAACCACACCAGAGCACCCGCCAACCATGCGCTGCAATGTTGTGAAAACAGTAGAGGCATGTGTATGATCTTCACGCTACAATAACGTAGATTACAAAAACGTTTAGAGCGTAATGTTAAGCGGGAATTTGCGCTATCTATACACATGCTATCTTTTAAATATATTTTTACAAGTGACACAGAGATAAACAGAGATAATAAAAAGGAAAATAACTTAACATAATATTGTCGTCAGCATCCTTCTAAATGTTCTCAGCCCAGAGTGCTTTTTCAGGAGAGAGAGAGAGAGAGAGAGAGAGAGAGAGAGAGAGAGAGAGAGAGAGAGTGAGAGAGAGAGAGACTGTTTCATCCTTAAAACAATTGCCCCTACATTACATATTTTTCTTGTTTCTTGCTTCCTTTTTTAGCTACACTTTTATCTTACCCTACCCATTTCTATCAATTGGAACTTTTGTGTTTAGTATTAACAACAACGTCCTAATAGCAGAAGATGAAGAACACCTGCAGAATCTATTAAATGTCATCGTACAAGAGAGTGACAACATGGGCTTAAACCTAAACATCAAGAAAACCGAAACGATGGTGATAAGCAGAAAAACTCCAATCCCAACATGCAATATCAAAATCAATGATACCACCCTCAAGCAAGTACAACATTTTAAATATTTGGGGACCAGTATATCATCAGATGGTAGATGTCACACCGAAATTAAAAGCCGCATTTGCCTAGCAAAAGCAACCTTCCACAAGATGAAACAGATACTAACAAACATCAATCTGTCACTGGAAACGAGGAAAAGAGTACTGAAAAGTTACATCGAGCCAATCCTATTATACGGATGCGAAGCGTGGGCAATCAATAAACAGCTGGAAAGAACAATTGTAGCGACAAAGTTATGGTTCATAAGACGCATGCAACGCATCCCATGGATAGCTAGAAAAACAAATGAAGAAGTCCTGGTTGAAGCAAATTATAGAAAACAACTTATCACGAATATTAGAAAACAACAGGCAAATTTCTTCAGACACACAATGCGGAAAGAAGCATTAGAGAATATTGTAACAACAGGCAGTGGCGGTGGGTAGTGAAGGGCTAACGGGCTTGAGCCCCTCACCCCCACCCCCTCCCCACCCCAACTCTATCCCTTAGTTAATGAAAGTTTCTTAAATAACGAAATAAGCAGTTGAAACCGTTATGATCGCACACAATGAACACACAGTTATCAGCTTGGCCACAGTTATCCAATCATCGTTGTCACCGCTTACAACTATAGTAACCTAACAGCCAATCAAATGTCGTTAGGGCTCGTCTTTAATTAAACCAGCTGATGAAACTCTTCTTGTAAAAAGGTAGAAGACTTTAAAAAATAACACTGCACAGAGGGCTCACGCTCTCCCAGCCCTGACAATGGGGTGAAAGTTTACGACACACTTTCCCCCAGTGACACAGATACCTATGCGCCCATTGGGCCTTTGTTAAGCGTGTTCTATTTTCCGCAACAACACGACCCAATCCACCTCATAGACGGTATGTGTTTGGAGTGCTGTGTGTTTGTGCCGCTGAGATTTCCCAGTTATTAATTACGTCAAACCATTTTTGAGGCAACTTTATCTTCAGATAAAAACTAATTAGAGAAATTTGAAGGTGAAACGGCTTCGTCCCCACATTCCAGAAGCTTACATTTAACTAAGGACAAAGAGATGGAAGACAAAGGTGACTCTTCTCGTTTGAATGATTCTCAAAATGCCGTGGCTCGCCCTGAGTATAGAAAAATCATCACAGTTTTGTTCTTATTGCATGCTTTTTGGTGGTAAAGAAGTGGAAGAAACCTAAGCCCCACCAAAATCTTGCTCCACCCACTGCGACTGACAACTTGAAAGTTTGATGGCAAGAGAGGCAGAGGCGGACAGAGGGAAAAGATACTGGACAAGATGACAACATGGCTGGGTGCAGCAAGAACAACAGACACCATTGCTGCATCGAAAGACAGATGGAAGTGGAGGTCCATGATCGCCCACGCCAGTCCGCAAAGCACGCATGATGATGATTAACAACAGAAAGAAGTGCAGCATTTTTGATTTAAAAATTAATTCACTCTAGCTCTACGCATTATTGTTAACATAGAAGAGAAAAGTTATTTATATATTTATTTATATATATATTTTTTTTCCATATATATTTTTTTTTTACCTTTATTTTTATTTATACATTTTATAAATATATATTCCAAAAACACACCCCCACATATTTTATATATATATATATATATATATATATATATATATATATATATATATATATATATATATATATATATATATATATAATATATAAAATATATAATATAAATACATTTTCAGCAACATTTAGAATTTGAATTTCTACAAAACAGTGCTCGAAAACATACACGTGATACCACAAATAAAACAACGAAACAAAACAGAAATTATTTATTTGCTTTCAAAACTTTGGGCTCTGTACATATGGACACGTGGTTGACGAATATATGCATTTTGCTTATGGTCTACTTCCGATCTGATAGGTGTCGAAGTTTTTGTGTACCCACTGTAAATGTCTTCAAATATTGATGCGCACTCTACTGTTTTCTCTCTTTTTTTAGGGGGGGGGGGGGGGGGTTACGGTGCTCGCAACTGCGTACGGTCATATGAGCGCGCGGGACACATTAAACATTTTCAGTTAGTAGAACATTTTGAATTTTGCCAGAGTGGCGGCTGATGCCAACTCATATCAATCTTAGACCAACAAGGGATCTTTAACGAGCGCAACTTGCAC